GTTTCAGTCTCGCTCAAAAGGCCAAACATGACTGGTTCCAAAGGTATTCAAGAAATATGTTTGACGTGTCAAGATCTCACCGGGACAAAGAAAAATATGTTCAATTTTTTTTTTTTTTTTTATACATGACAGGCAAATGACTCCACTCCACCTGATGTTAAGTGGAAAGTGGTATCCAAACGCGAAGGAATCTAGTGCAGCGATGAAATCCTCCCTGCACTAGCCACCTCCACCCTGCCTGCCTACAATATGCCTCTTCACGCCTCGTTTGAAGGACCCCATATCATAAGAGGGAGGGAAGACATGTGCCGGAAGGGAGTTCCATTTGTCAACCGTGCGGCAGAGAAAGGAGCCACCGAACCTTTTAGTACGCGATGGAATTCGGCAGGTAGTGAAACGGTGACTACGAAGGCCAGCACGCGTGCTTCTGAGCAGGAACGGGGAAGGGGGGATGATGTTAATATGTTAGCAACAATAAGCCCCGTTTTAGCATCATCTTCATAAAACTTATATATACATAAGTAATAGGTTTCCGGCGAATGAACACGGTGAACACAATTTAAACCCAATTTACTCGTAATAACTTTACAATTCGGAGTTTTTCACTAACTTTTCTCGTCCAGAGTTCAGAGAGCGAGGTGAAAGTTTAGGTCCTGTTAAGGGTAAAGTTAATCTCACAAGCCAAAGTTTATCGGTTTGTTTTACAACTGTTTGGTAGGCTTATTTTTGTATTACGAGACATTGAGATGTTTTATTTATATTTAGACCTTATCTGAAAGTCTACTGTTCCGTTTTCTTAAACATATAAGAATACCATATTGTATCCGCATATTACAGCTCTAGCAGCGACACTCAGTTCAGCTGCATATCGATGCCTTACTTTCTCAAACTCGTATCTTACAAAAAGTGATGACTCAGGAGATGGCAAAACTTTGTATTTATTTCAAATTTCTTATCAAGTGTGATCAAATCAGCCTGCAAAATTCGTATATACAATGAAATTTTTGCATTTCAGTTACTTTGTGCTTTAAGATACGAGTTTGAGAAGCAAGGAGACGATACGCGGTAAGAAAAATTAGATAATTTATAGATCAAGAAACTGCTCGGCTAGTATATTACAGCAACTTCCACAGCGTAATGTCACACGGCATTCTACTGTAGGGGAAAGCAGCTGACATGACGACTATTTTTATTTTACAAAAGAGAGCTGCAAGGTCCCACGGTTATGTTATACGGATTGAAAGTACCTTAGATAGAAAATTTTGCTGAAGAAGACTTTATTTTGATTTGAAAAACAATTCGAACTGCATTTAAAGATTTTGAAATAATCGCCTGTCTGAAAAAAAAAACCTGTAATTTTACTACACTGATCGAAAGCCTTAATTATAAGGTTCGTTTTCATCTAAATAATATAATATTTTAAATAAAATGAAGACCATGAAATTTAATATTTCATTAAAATGAGGTACGTTTAACTGAAATTTACAATGAATTTCAGTTATTAAATGCTCAAAATGTGTCAATCTGAGTATACAAATTCTAGCTCTTTTGATTGCGATCTCGCGCTTCCTGTTGATTTGTTCTTTTCTTGCTGAATGTTTAAAACAATAAGTCTAAGTTCAGTTTGTAAGTCCTGCACACTCCTCGCATGCCGGTTCCTTTGAACTAAACGTCTTACAGGCTCATTTTCTAGAACAAAATTTCAAATTTAAGGGTAATATTCATGGTCTTCCTCTTATTTAAGATGCTATGTTATTTAGAAGAAAACAATTCTTATGATTGAGGCTTTGGATCCAGTATAGTAAAATTACAGGTGTTTGCTATTCCACATTCAGCGTGTTTGAGCCCCCCGTAGGGACTATCCTCCCCCGTCCGCCTTCTATGTTAGGGAAACAATTGCTGCGCGCGACCAAGGTGTGTCCAGGCCGTGCGAATTGTTCACCCTTCAATCCCGTAAACCTACCCTTTAGCCCACCGCCGTCACTAGATTAGTTAGGGTAGTAAACCCGCGTGGTTCATGTAATTCTAGTATACTTAAACTAGCTGACGTAATTATAAATTTAAATGACATTTCTCTACTTTAGCTCGGTAGAAATAACATTTTAATTTTTCGGTTTTCACCTGTACATTTGAAACGTATTAAGAAGAGTCAAAGTTAAAAAATATTTCTTTCATGGGTAAGCAAATTACACTTAAAATCGTCATATTGGCTAAACTCGACAAGTCATTCGTAAGGCAGATTCCCTTGAGAAGAATGAGCAAGAAAGTCTAGGAGTTCCTCTTTGTAAATAAACTATAATTTCAGAAAAAAAATATAATTTCAGAAAACATAGATCTAGACTACCTGCAAGAGCTAAACGGATCATTACTGCGGATTTTTGACATCAAACGCCTGCAAAGCAACAAACCTTTAGTATAAAGTTTTGTTGCTAATATTATTTCAATTGCGACGTCACGACTATATTCTCGCAACATTCAAGATGATGATTCTAGTTATTAAAGTTTCCGATGTGTTTAAGGAATATCTCATAACTGGCAACAGGAATAAAAATAAGTTTGGTAAGATGACTTGTATATTCTAGTGGAATTTAACGTGTTAAAAGGCCAAATAGTTTTGTTTATATTCAAGTCAATCGAATAGAAAAATTTCATTTTCAGACATTGTACGTAGGTATCATATTAGTTACAGAAACTGATGTTAGTAGGGAGAATTATGATTTGAGCCTCTGGAGCTCAAGTGAACCAAACTTCAATGCTTCTTCTTCTTATCGAATAGATGGCTACACTATTATCACATCCTAAAAGTTTAACAATGTTACTTGTAACCATCATGCTCACGAAAGAAAAAAAACAATGGAAGAGCCTTAAGCCTCGATAACTACACTATGAAATCTTGATTATGATTCTTCATAGTTTCTAATTTAAAAAGGTGTTACAAATTCGGGATTGTTAATATAATGTAACTTTACCCTGTTGGGATATCGTTGAAAATTCAATACCAAGTTCTAACTTTTTGATTTTATAATGTAGCATATTCCCGGGGTACGGTCGGGACAAGCACACTATTATTTACCTACAGTAATTTTATCCAAGGTTCTAAAACTAACGAAGGAAACCAACACCAAGTTTTAACATTGATCGGTTTACAATAAGTAACAAATGCACCTCTTAAGTATACTAGAATTAAATGAACCACACGGGGTTACTACCCTAACTAATATAGTGACGGCGGTGGGCTAAAGGGTAGGTTTACGGGATTGAAGGGTGAGCAGGTGCAGCATTCAAAAATGGAGTGACATGGGATCTAGGAGGCACCCGAAAGCAAAAGCGTGTGCATGCGTTCTGTACACGTTGTATCAACTTCTGAGACCTACTTAAAATACAATCACTATATACTACATCACAATAGTTTAACCGCGACAACATCAATGATTCACAAAGGTGTACACGCAAATCAACGCTAAGGTAATCACGAACACCATACAATAATTTGAGTCGATAAAAACAGTTATCCGTCACATTGAGGATGTGCTCTTCAAAACGAAGTTCACTGTCCATCAGCATTCCGAGGTTTCTGACCCTATCGACCCGTTCTATTGGTTCACCCATAACCGCAATATTTCTGGAAGCAAGGGCTTCCAGTGTATTATGGATTTGACCCTTTGTTCCAAGCACCATGTACCTAGACTTACTCGGATTCAGTACTAGACAATTCTTATCAGACCACGCCGCTATACGATCTAGATCACCATTGATGTCATTGACTGAAGTTATAGTATCAGATGGCTTACCCGATATGTATAGCTGCAAATCGTCCGCATACATTTCAAAAGCTTGTAACGATATCGGCACTGTATAATATAAATAGTAACGGCCCTAAAATGGAACCCTGAGGCACACCTCTAGTTACAGGGCGGAGAGAGGAAAACTCAGTGGCACCGTTAACCGCATGCAGTTCAACTATTTGAGCCCAATCCGAAAGATAGCTATGTAACCATTCGATGGTTTTAGTGTCAAATCCATAATACGACATCTTGGACAATAGAAGTGGTATGTCCAAACTTTCGAAAGCTCTGGAGAAGTCCAATAACGCCAGAAACGTGCTTTTCCCGACATCCTGTGCTGCCAAAATATTGTCGACCACATCCAGCAGAGCTGTTGCTGTGCCTCGACCCCTTCGAAAACCAGACTGGAATTCTGGAAGGATATTGGTCCTCTCCAGGTATTTCGAAAGCTGTTTACACACAACGCTTTCTATTATCTTGGACATGCACGGAAGAATGCTAATAGGACGTAGGAATAGTGTGTGCGTTATTATTATAGTACCTTTCCTTATTTTGTTGTAAAATACGTCTGCTGTATTCCGTGCCGCATGTATACCGGGTGCACTGAAAATCAGCATCGTAGTCAGTGACATGACATTACGCTGACTAGATGACGGATTCCGTAATAGCACAACATACACTCCATTATTCCAATTTTGATACTTCATTTATTTACTTAATAAGTCGAATTGTTTAGTCATAAGTCTTGTATAATAATTGTATTGTATTATTATATCAAATCATATAATGTGTGTGTAATGTGCTGTAAATTATTAACGGAATAAACAGTTTTATTTCTTTCTTTCTAACTGTTAGAGCTCGAATTATCAAAAGCTTACTCTTGGACCATTAGCGTCATAGCAAGTGTTACAAACCGCGTCTCATTGACAGCGTGTTGTATTTGGTTTCTCCTGTGACATAAAGTTGAAGCATTGGCTTGTCAAAGGTAAATACGTTCCCTCAACGAAACTATGTAGTTTAAACGTTAAAATATTAGCGCAATTGCAAATGTGCACAACGTGTCACTTTGTATACATTTGCAATTGCGCTACTAACAAGGTAGTCATATTATCGACTACTATAGAACTTGTGTTTGCAAATGGTTTGCGTCTAAAATTAATTCTTAACCTGTATAGAATCCTAAGCCGTATGATTAAAAACCACATTACATTCCAGTGGTGGAGCACTCCCGGCCTCGAGTATGCTCGCTTCCCGAAAAGCCGTACAACCCTCGCCTCTCCGATGACCTGTACAGACTCAGGACCTTTTCCATCACGACCAAGGGAGGCGTCGTCAACTGCGGTGACTCTATCTGCAACAGACGGAGTCGATCTAATACTTCAGTCAATTCTACTAATAGCAGGTACGATTCTTCAGGATTATTAAAATTTGTTAATAAGCGGTTTCTGTTGAAGCTAGTAGGTAGTCACGGTAAATATCTAACTTAATCTCCCTCATGAATCACTCTGTGGAACACTAACGATACTAGACATTCGAAGTTACGTGGTTTTCCAACAATCTTATTAATATTACCTTTGTTTGAGATTATATTGCATTGCACGTTCCCTTACCCCTAAACGAGCTCTATACACCGCACACAGATCGGCTTCCATACAAATTCGCCTGCTTAGAAAAAAGAAGAACTCTGATCAACAGGCCAGCAGTGTTAATAAATTACAATCAAAATTCTTAGCAAACCCGAAGACTCATAGAACAGGAAGACCTATTTAAAAACATACACGTTTAGACAACACGTACGTTGATCCCAAAGTAAGTAACGCACTTGTGGTATGGAAATCGGAAACAATGATGGTACCACTACATCCATATCCGAGAAAATATAGAAAAGTTAGTTTTTCTATATTGACCCAGCCGGGGATCAAACCCAGAACCTCAGAAATGTCGGCACCATGAAAACCAGTGTGTAAATCACTCGACCACAGAGGTTTCGTCGAATTAGAAGTACATATCACATGAATTATATAACAACAGGCCCTTGTCGCCTTTTCCATCGAAACAAGGAAAAGATACTAGTGTATGACTCTTCATACACCTCAGAAACACAGGTTAAAGTTCCACCACACAGCCTCTGCTGTGTGGTGGAACTTTAACCTGTCTAAATAAATGGCGTAAACTTATTTAAAAAAAAGGTCGCGGTGTCATCTGTCACCGGCTAACTGCCACGCCACAAATTAATATGTTTGAGGCGTTTAGTATTTTTATTTAACTTTGATAGGGCAATCAAATAATTTAAAAAAATACCTACTTGTTGTTAATCTTTCGACCGTCACTAACAAACACTAGTTTCGTTCCCTAAACGTCAAGCCTACATAGTGATGTGACATCTTTGTTTCGATGTTGAATTTCCACTTTATATTAATCCAATTCTCCTAAGTCAAAGAAGAACATAAGTGAATATAACATGCAACTATGAATCCATACTTAAATAGTATATATTAATAATTTGAATCAACGAAATCTTGTTAATGATTAATGATATAATGATTGATCGCTTCAGATTAAAAAATTCAATAAATAACAAATTCTGGATTGTTAATATAATTTAAATTTTATCATATCGTTGAAAGTATAATACCATCAATACCTATTATTGCAAGTTACGACGTTTTGATATTATACTGAAATTTCAATCAAAGTGCTGCCATCTAGCGGTTAATTGCTCAACGACGACGAACTGGAGTTATTTATTTAGTTCTCCAAAAAAGAAGCGACGATATTACAGGACATAAGCTGTACTTTCGTTTCTTGTAACAAAAAATTGAGTTCGATAAACCTTAAATTAAATTAAAAATTTATTAAAATAAGACTTTCCGATGATATCAAATACTACTACGGGTAGTATTTTTGGTGCGGTTATCATTTTTTCGGGCGTATCAGCCAAGTTATGTAAGACGCTTTGAAACGTCCACGGCGGTCAAAGGCTTAAGCATTACACGTCCGCTACGCTGTGCTTCCCTTCGTTGTCTTCATATAAAAGCCTAAAAGCCAAATTACAATGCCTGTAGACGGCATGCTTGCTACTAGAATTTTTGTTATGTGGAAAATATAAATGCTAGTAACTTTTATTTATTTATTTATTTTTACGTGGGGAAATCCTCCTACGATACCTCTTCGCCGCGGGGGCAGCGGGAGGTTCTACCGGCTATAGCCGCTACTAAGCCTGGCGGAGAGAGATCTCGGTCGATCCGGGCAACCAGGATATTCCGCCCACGCGAGGCACTCCTCCAGTGCGTGCTGGGCGGAATTCTGGTCCTTTCCACAGTGGTGGCACTGCGTTGTCGATTCGCGTCCGATCCGATTCAGATACTCACCGAAGCGTCCGTGCCTTGTGAGTATCTGTGTCAGTTGGAACGTGGTGACGCACATCCGCTGGCTCAACAACCAGACTTCGAGGTTGGGCAGTATCGCACCGACGGCGCGCTGGCTCGAGTCACGGCTCTTCCAGCCTCTCGCGCCATTTCTCGAACGCCCATCGGCGCTCCTGCCATCGCACTTCCGGTGGCGCAGCTTCTTCCGCCTGGCGGAGCCGCACGTAAATCGGGGCGTCCATCTCCTCCAGGATGTCCAGCGCACCTGCGCTGCCGCATGCGTCCTCGCCGGTACTCCGCCGTGGGACCTTGAAGCCGAGGTCCTGGCGGAGGTCCACGCCTACCGGCGGGGAATGAGGGACCGAGGCGAGCGCCCTGCTCCCTAAGAGGTCGAGCGGGAGCGCCGCCTCGCGGCGCAGCGCATGCGGGACCGGTGGAAGGAGGGCTTGGCGGATCCCCCCTATGGAGCTCGCACTTTAGGGGCGATGCGTCCTGTCCTCGTAGAGTGGGGGAGCCGGTCCGGGGCCACTGTTGTACCACCTTGTGCAGGTGCTGACCGGGCATGGCTGCTCGGTCACTACCTACACAAGGTGGCGAGGAGGGAACCGTCCCCGTCGTGACACGAGTGCGACGCTGCGGATGACACCGCGCAGCACACCCTAGAGGTGTGCAGCGGGTGGGATGAGCAGCGCCGTACCCTGACAGGGACAATAGGGCAGGATCTCTCGCTGCCGAGCGTGGTTGCCGCCACGCTCGGTAGCGAGGAGTCCTGGGAGGCGGTGGCCTCCTTTTGCGGAGCGGTTCTGTCGCAAAAGGAGGCTGCAGATCGGGTGCGCGAGGACGCGGCGGACGCGCACCCGCTTCGGCGCAGAGCCGTACGGGGAGAAGGCGAAGGCAGTTCGCTGCTCGCCTGATCCCCTAGTGAGGCCAGCGGGCTCTGAACAGGGACTCCGGAGCCTGCATTGCACGGTCTCACTCGTCTGGGGAGCGGGTCGGAGGACAGCTGACCTGCCCCTCCGTTGGCGCGGGAGCCCTGGCGTAAGCTAGGGCGGCCAGGCGGCGTTTTAGTGGGGTAGACCCTCCAGTTTGGAGGGAGAGTTCCCACATAACCCCTGAACCTCCCTGGGCTCAGAGGTATCTATAAAGATTTCCCCCCGTAAAAAAAAGGGAGGATGTCGAAGCGGGGGAAACTGCGCCAGGGCAGTCGCCGCGTCAAAGGATACGGTACGGTAACCTCGTGAAATGCTAGTAACTAACTTAACTTCACCGCAATACCGCTGTCCTCGAAGACAAAAGTCTTCGAGCAGTGCGTGTTGCCAGCGATGACTTACGGCTCTGAAACGTTGTCACTTACTATAGGCCTCATAAAAAAGCTCAAAATCATTCAACGAGCTATGGGGCGAGCAATGCTATTTGGTATTATATTATTATTAATGCTATTAGTATTTCTCTACGTGATCGATTCAGAAATTAGGAGACCCGTAGAAGAACGAAAGTCATCGACATAACTCAAAGAATTAGTGACTTGAAGTGGCAGTGGGCAGGGCACATAGCTTGTAGAACTGATGGCCGTTGGGGCAGAAAGGTTCTTGAATGGAGATCACGAACCGGAAGGCGTTCAGTGGGACAGCCCCTTACTAGATAGATGGATGACCTAGTGAGGGCGGCGGGTAACCGATGGATGCACGGCGCATCCAACTGGGTAGTCTGGCAATCTTTGGGGGATGCCTATGTTCAGCAGTGGACGTCTTCCGGCTGATATGATGATGGTGATGAAGTAACTTACATCTTTTTGCTACTTTCTGCAAGTGTTCTAGCTACCAAACATGAATATTGTAGGCGTAAACGTACATAAAAACCATAAAGCTCTTTAACATTCAACCATTAGTCTGTAGAAGTGTCGTATAATCAGATTAGTGAGATTTATGACTGATTATTTCATCGCGTGCCGCCGCACTGACCCACTGACACAAGACACCACCAAGGGGAGATTACACCCTTAGTATTTATATAGGTATGTTTGAGAAGGGTGAATGTACCCGGTTACATTGTTTACTTTCGATGTGAAAGTTATTAATTAGTTGCGACTTGTTTGATTATTATGGAGAAAAATTAGTAGTTTTATTAGGAAATCAAAGTTAGGGCGCTGAACAGAGACTGGCGATTACTCCACCGACAAAACCCTTGGTCTTAAGGTGAAGTATTTCAACGCGAGTTTAGTAAAATGTAGACTCGCGTTGAGGTGGGGTGAGGTGTGGGGGGTCGCCTCTGGCGTCCCGTAACTGCGCGCTGTAAATTAATACGAACATAATCTTACTACAGAGTACTAAAAAAACCGACCTCAAAAGTAGGTACGTGGAATTACGTCAAAAATCGGTTCTTACTACTCAAATTATATTGAGGGAGAAAAACGCCTTGAATTGGAGAATAGCAAAATTAACCATTAAAATAACTGCTCCTTATAATAAAATTTAGGCGCCATTCATAAAAATGAATCTTCATGCGTGAACAGCCACCCTTAGAGGTGGATGATTTTCTCCAAAATGAAATGGGACCACTGTGGAGGTACCCTTTTTCCTACAAAAAAAAGAATCATGAAAATCGGTTGAAAAATACCGGAGTTCTCACGTAATATATATACAAAAAAAAACATACAGCCAAATTGAGAACTTACTTCTTTTTGAACTCGGTTAAAAATAAGAACAGGCGGAGAAAATTTAACACAGATCCGTCGGCAAACAGCCGATAGTTAGATATTTTATCCTGAAATAATTATCGAGTTCTTAGATTTTCGCCATTATTACACAGAGGAAATGAAACTATTTTTCCGGATTTAAATCGCGTATATTTGTTTTTTCAAACCAACCAGCGTTTCGGGCCCTTTACAGATCCCTTGGGGACGGTTGACTGAGGTGGTAAAGTCTATGCTCAGCAGTGGACGTCTTTTGGCAGAAAAGTAACTTAAAATGCATAAAAACGTAGAAGCATGCTCGTACAGTATGAAGTTCGCAATATGCATTGAACCTGGGTGGGA